CTGTACTAAGATAACGATACGATAGACAACCAAAGACGCTGGTCGACGCCAGTCCTGTTGTCGTATTATGATATAAGATACAAAATGCTTAGGTGGACGCAAAACCATGACATGACACAATAGCGATCGGCACGACGTGGTACAGACTGTCGAACCTATAATGGATATGGCTGCAACACTCTCTCAAGCTTCTATCGCTGATCTCCTGATCCTTAAGTGTCGTCATGTTGTCATCCTTATATTCGTGTCAAAAGATACCGGTTTCACTAGAGCAACGCATATGCCTCTCGTAAAGGACAGAAGAGTGACGTCCTCATCCACAGGTTGCTATTGTCTTTCTGCAGGATATATTCAAAAACGATAATACATAGTAGAAATGTCTACATATCACGTCATCGATGGCTATTTCAATAAGTGGTTGATGTATTTCAGCACCCAGAAATCAAAGATTGGCCTTCGAGGTGCGCGAAGGGAAATCGGCCAGTTTTCTACCACTTCTTCGATCTAGGGAAATATCTCGTCACGTACCTTCATATAGTCGTCTTTCAAGGAATACCCGCGTGAAGTCTGCCTTTTTTTCTTCGTCAGGCTTATACGCATCTGTCTTGGACATAATGAGCTCCTCTACCTCATATGAACGACACTATTAGGATATGGTTACCAGCTTGGTGTCTAAATGGAAGAGGAGAGATACATCGTAATGCAACGAATTATAGGCCGTCACTACCCAGATGTAGTTTTCATTTCGCATCTATACGCGGCTACCATCAACAGATCCGATTACTTCAGGGCCCTGTCGAGAAATCGGATCTGCTGAAAATGTGCCCTTCTTGAATGAATATGCCGTGAGACTTAAGTGGGAGACCGCAAAAGGAAATGTGATTTTTCGCTCTTTTCTTCTTCCACCTTCCCTCTCCACCAAAGTGAATCTGATTTGCACATGTCTAAACTCTCATTGATTATGGGCTTCACGTGTCTCCTATTCAGCTTTCAAAACAGAATGATAGGGGAGAACTTATGTTGGTATTCATGTCTTCAGAATGAGCAACAGTATAGTTTAGATTTAAATCATTTTCCTACGCCCCCCTAGAGCAGTCCGCTTGCTATTCGAGCGTTTTCTTTATAATTAAAATCCGATAACGTAGGGAAAGTGAATGTTTTCCTAACCTCCAAAAGGAGACATATCTGGCTTACCTCACAATATTTTAAGCCAAATTTGTTTTCAAAAGCTATTTTCAGAAGCTAAGACAAATGCTGTCATTGACATCCTGCATCTTCCTGCTCTCCTCGTGAAGCATTACTCCTCATTCCGCTCCTATCATGGATATCAACGCTCATTTCTGTTAATATATTATCGACATATTTAAACTTAAATCATTCCGATCGATTCATTTTGTCAGTTTAGCCATTTCAATGATTGGATGCTTGATGACTCATTTCTAGAATTCCTCTGGCACTTCGAGTCTTTCCCTGCTAAGGTGGTATGATCAACATCCATATTTCTGTCATAGGGTATCTCACTCCTACGTGGATAAGAGCAGGAAATGATTTGCAAGAGCGTACAAATACACTGCTGATCAAAATGATACACCGAAAAAGGTAAAAACCACCATGTATAATTTCTTGATCAACGAGAGGATAAATACTGATTTTTACCTAATGCATTCGAATAAGTGCACAGGAAGAGAGTAAGGGTCTTATCTTCTGCTCAACCATGAATTTTTCCCAGTCCTCGCTCTCAAGATAGAAAACCTCACAGTGGTGTGATGTATTCGTATACTTTGTTAGGGGCAAGACGCTTATCCTCCATTTCCCAATAAACCTTTCTTAATAGTGCATATAATTTTCACATAACGTGATGGTTATCGTTTTGCTAATACTATGCTAAAAGTGTTTCTTTGGCTTTGTCGTCATCAAGCTTTGATCTAAGGTCTACGAATTCAAGCACGAGTGCTATCACCTTAACCCTTTGACAAGTCTCTCGACGTCTTCCTCTAGAAATCTGTGACATATTCTCCGAACTTGCTCGTTCCAAAATGATACATCACTAGTAAGCCTAACACTGACCTTAAACCAAACCCTGACCCTAATCCTTACCCTTACCCTAGCTCTAACAGCAGAAAATCGCTCTTATCAAAGAGCAAAGTCGGTGGCGATCGCACAATAACATGAAGTACTCCTTTTCAAGGTAATAAAGCTTGTCACGTTTTCTCGCTACTCAACGAGGATTGCAATATCATTTTTTCCAGTACTCACGTGGAGGTGATTGTCGCTAGCATTAAGAGGTGAGCTCTCGACTCCAGGACTAGAGAGCAACCTTCACGACTATGCCTGGACTAGTTTCAGTTCTGTTGTTGGGTAGATTATAGCGAGGCTCCTAAGCTACTCGGTACAGCATGAAGTACTACGTCACCCTGCATTTCTTTCCGAAAAGTCTTTGCTTACCCGAAATAAGCGTACTCCCCGCTCACAACCGACGCGCTCGCATAGCTCTCACCAGAGTTGAATGTCAGGCTATCCACTCGGGTGAAGTCGGTCAGATTTACCTTCACCACTTGGATTGGGTCAGTGTAAGTCCTGTGTACCGGGTACAGCCTAGCTTGTCAGTAACTTCGAGGGCACGAAGTGGCCCGGCACTGAGGATATCTTACGGGCCTTGTCTTACCCGAAATACGCATAGTCCCCGCTCACAACCGAAGTAAATAATTCACCTTCATCCGAGGCGAGGGTGAGGCTATCCACACGAGTGAAGTCGGTCAGATTCACCTTCACCACTATGCCTTGACCAGTCCCCACTCTTTGTATAGAGGATCATGAGGCTCATCAGCAAGTTACAGAGCATCAAGTCATACCACACCGCACATTTTCTCCAAGCCTTTTCCTTACCCGAAATACGCGTAGTCCCCACTCACAACCGACGTCGTTGGTGTACCTTCACCTAATATCAGCCTGTCCACTTGACTGAAGTCGGTCAGATTCACTTTTACGACCAGCCCGGGCAGACCCTCACCGTAAAAATCAATGAACGTCCTGAGTACAGGGGGTCACGAAGTTCATCAGAGGTTTACAGAGTATGACTTTTGAAGGAACTTCGTATTTTCTCTGAGCCTTTGCTTACCCGAAATACGCATATTCGCGGCTTACTACCGACGTAAATGGTATACCGTCTTCATAAATTAAATCCAGGCTGTCCACTCTTGTGAAGTCAGTCAGATTTACCTTTATGATTTTTGACGGAAAAGTTGCAGCGCTTTGTAGGGGGGTAAGTAAGCTCATCAGGAACTATAGAACTTGATTTGCTTCGCAATAGGGATCTCCTCTGAGCCTTCACCTACCCGAAATATGCATAGTCCCCGCTCACAACGGAAGTAAATAAGAAATCTTCACCCGACGAGCTTAGGAAATCATTTCCAGCCGGCTCAAGAGTCAGACTGTCCACTCTTGTAAAGTCAGTCAGATTCACCTTCACGACTATGCCTGGACTAGTTTCAGTTCTGTTGTTGGGTAGATTATAGCG